ATAATATTTCGCTTTTTATGACTTATTCACGAAATAAGGCGAATATTGAACCTTGACAGAATTCTGCCATATAATTCCTAAATATATTTTTAATATTCTGTATATATATACTATATACAATAATATTTAGTGCGCAATGTAGAGATCGCATATGTTATATTTAGCTTTCTAAAGATAGCGTCGCGAAATATTCATGTGTGACACGAAAAGTACGACCTACAGAAATGATCTGCAGGACACGCGGTGAATATTTCAGAAGATGGAATATTCGTATTAAGTATTCACAGAAATATTATTTTTATCAAAGATTTTTATATTGTACATGGGATACAGAATATTCCAAGATACATGCTTCAATACATGAAAACAAATTAAAAATATGTATACATATATAGCGCTAATTTAAATATCAAAGCCTCGCGATACTTATAAAAATATCAAATATTATTTAAAAACATTAATTCTTTTTTATTAGGTGAACTTGATATAAAAAGTCAAGGATATATAATAAATAAGGCAATTAGTAAATAGCTATCTTTTATATAATTTTTATCGAGGAAAATTCAATTTCAGGTATTATCGTTCGACCGAAATAATTTGCAAACATTTGTATGCAAATATATTAATAATTTCTTCAATCTTTGAAAGATACCGCAAAAGTGAGTTTTAATTTCGCGTCTGCATTTTGCACATTTATTTTAGTTATATAAAGCTATGCAGCATTCTCCGTTCCGCTGTTAGGGAACATTCAGTATTCGTGCAACCATTTGTAAAATTGCCTCGCTGTTTGCTTTCGTATTTCGATATTTCCGTTCGCCTTGTTCACGTTCGGATTCAAACGTCGAGTCCGGCCATTTCACGCTTGTTGAACAGCGGACAACACCGCAATTTGGATAAGGATCCTGACTGGATAACCGACTTTTAAAAATTTCTAATCCTTTTGTCAAACCATAAAAAATCGAAAGAGCAAAAAAATATCAAGATGTAAATTTGCGTCTTCTAATATCGTAAGAAAGAAACGTCACAAAAATTACGAATAATTGCCTAATATTTCTGCGAATTTTTTTCTAAAAATTCGACGAATATGTTTGGCTAAAGTTTGCGACAAGACAAGTGCGTTTAGAATTAGGATGACAAGGAATTACATATTTTCCGGTATTGTCCCACCGACTGGCAAACATCCTCTATATATAGCTGTACAAATATCGCGAGGCTTTCGAATATTTAGAACGTAGGAGCCCGCAATTCCCGCCGGTAAACTGGTTTGCGCGGTAATTTCAATTATCGTATTGCATGGAGGTTCGTCTAACTTCTCCCTCATAAATACATTAGTGTTAGTGATTTAACGCGGATGTGCAAATATCCGGGTAGTCGGGCACTCTCAGTTACTAGCCAAAACTTAACAGGCAAACCCGGGCCCAGGCTCGCTCGAGAACGCCGAGAGTTTGAAAAGGCCATTCATTCGAGTAAATATTTGGATGACAAGAAGGAAACAGACTGTTCACAATTTCCGCCAAGAAACCGCTTCATTTCTCAATTCACTCAATTTTTTATTTTATCAAACTACCATTTTCTCATTCTTCTCGTATTATACATATATATATATATATATTTTTTTTAAGCGACCTAGCTCTAACAATAATAAAAAAAAATTGAATTTTGAATTCTGGTCAATCATCAAAATAAATTTTATTTTTCATATGTATCTCACATAAATATTATTCGCGTTTTCATCACATTATATATAGAGATATCATTATTTATAGATCCAATCTAAATTTAAGAATTGTATCGGATTTGTAATATCAGTTTCTGCTAGAAATGCAACGAGTGGGGTATATTTCGAGAACTGCGTTACATTTTTAGCATCTTTAGCCGGAAAGACATATTCTCGCCGTACGACGGAAATTTCATCTCCACAACCTCGCGTAGGGCTCAAGAAACTGTTCGCTTAGTGGCGGTGCACTGCCAATGCTACCAGTTGCATGGAAAGAGAGCAAAAGAGGACCCGCGCCGAGCTTAATCCCGTCGTCGTCGTGGAAAAGTTTTGCATTCGCGAAGATTTTCTCGCAAGCCATCTCGCTGCGCGCGTTTTTATTCGCACGATGATTCACTTTGACACCGCTGCAATTCTCGACCCTAATAATCCCGGCGACCTATTTCCCGCAACCACGAGTATTCCCACGTATTATGGAATCTGCTGCCGAGTGGTAACTGCGTTTAATCTTTAAAGATCGATACGGGACGCGCGACTTAAATGCATTGTCGTGGTAAAATGACGTTTGCTCTTTGGGAAATAATCAAGAAAATTAAACAATTTTGAATGTTGAAGATCAGCGACGCGATTTTACAAAATAAAAATACACGCCGATATTGCTATTTTAAGCAAGCTAATTTTACTTTCTTTTTCTTTGGTATTTATAGTTGAGAAAAGAAGCGATAAGTCTTCGGAACACGCGATACGTTGGCGAATATAATCGAAGCAATATATCTAAAAACTTTTTTTTTTCCCTTCGTCCCACATTTATAATATAACAAACGGTGGCAAAGTTCAGCTACCGGGTAGTTTGCCCGGGCGCCCTCGGGGCGAAATCAAAGATATATCATGTACTATACGCAAGCGTCGCTCATAAAATCAGAGTCTCCCCCGTAAACACGATTGCCGCGACGGTGCATTTTGAGGTCGAAAAAGACATAAGTGCTCAACTTGCACGTCGCGCAATCTGCGTTGCAACGTAACCAGATTATTCCGCTACCGCGTAAATATACGCGCAAATGCAATTGCTCATGCACGCTGCGCTCGCGCACATTTTATGAAATTGGCAACCTTCCACTCTACTGCTACTCGCGTAAAATATGTATATAATGGTGTACTGAAGAAATCTATTGAAATTATTAAGAAAAAATTATCGTGTATAAAGTTTTAATTTGTCTCCGACTTGTAGTTAATTTTTTTTCTAATAAAATTTTCGAGATTTGTTAAGCGCTTCTGGTATATTAAATTCCAGAGATGCACAGATAGGTAACAAATCTCGTTTCTGAGTTAAATGCAAGAATATTTTCCTTTGACGGTATTTTCAACTAAAAATTTTCCGAGGAGATATAGTGTCAAATGCGCTAAAAAGTTTGGCGAAAAAACAGCGAGTAATAACATTTTCGCTGGGGAAAACCTTCGCTTCCAAATTTGTCAAAAGATTTCTTAGATGAAAGAGAGCGAGGTAAATCCCGAGGAAAGCCCTATATAAATCGGAAGAAAGCAAAGTACGTAACGACAGTTCAAAGTGCGCGACCGAGGGCGCGCGCTTATTGGTTGTAAAACGAGAAGCCCATCTGCCCGCGATATAAGACATCGGTGAACCCTAAAAATCGACTCCTATCCGCTACCGATCACGGTAATAAGTCAGCCAGCCGATACCGGCGTACCGGGTGCGCTTAAAGTGCGGATTATCTCGACTAAAAAATTCTTCCACCATGCTTGCGCGCGACGCAATTCGATTGTTTGATCTTAAAGGAATAAAGTATTGAAATAAAAACACTTAAATTTGAAATTTCTAAGAAAATTAAATTTTAATAAGGCTAAGATAAGATATAAGATTAAACTAGACATTTTATATATTTAATAATAAATTATAACTATATTTATTATAATCGTTGGTAGTAGGTACTGAACTAATATTTGGTGTTTTTTCATCTTATTAAAGCGATATTATCACGTTTTTCTCGGATCACTTTTTTCAAACCTACACGCCGACTGGCAACTAGTAGAGAAAAAACAAGACGACGAGTTTCGCGTTTGCGAGAATATCGCTTGTGATAACAATATTGCTGGCACTTCGCGGGACAAAGTTAATTTCGTTGCGGCACTCGAGCTAATCGATAACGAAATTCTGGTGGCGCTCGTAAATTCCGAAATGGGATCAACAACTTCCTCTCCAATGTCAACAGGCCGACGAGAAATTTGTAGGGTTCGCGCGATGGGTGGGAGTTGACTCAGGGAATGGGTGAACCCAGACGACTACCAGGGGGTGGTGACGGGAGGAGAAGGAAGCGAAATTTTTCGCGTTTTATGCGAACGTCTCAACGCCCGAGTATACGGCATTGTTTTTCGTGTGGCAGCTGGCCCGCATGGGGCGGAACAACACTAAACTCAAGATTCCGGACCGACACGGGAGCAGTCTTATCGGCGCTCGCCTTATTTTTAATAAAACTACGACGGTGAGGAAAGGAGAAGAGAGCGCTGAGATTAAAAAATTCACCGGTGCCCGGAGGCACTCGATGGCCTCGTAACTTAAAATTAAGAAAATTAGGAAGCTGCAACGACCGGCTGAGCTTGCAAAACGCTCACATCCTCTGTTCTCAGAAATTTGATAATAATTACATCGCGAATAACGCATTTGAGAGGGCACATCGATGTTGCGTTAACTTTATCGGGCAACTTTTTGCAAGACTAGCTTTTAATCATAATTTAATCGCGAGTAACGAGGAAGTGTAGAGATTTAGCGCGCGATAGATTAGTTTATACGCGTTCGGAGATATTGTATTAGAAAATTATATATGTAATTTATACTTTACACGCTACGATTCTTGGGATAACATTAATTCTGCTATTAACGTCGCGTTAACCTAGGCTGTTCGGTAGTAAAGTTACGAAAATTTTGTGCGAAATGAACAAACTTGGCGCAACGAGCTGGTTAAGTTTCCTACTTTGTCTATCACGTCGCGCGACAGTCGGAAATATCTAAAAAAGGGAGGAACGCGGAAATTACGCGCGACATATAAAAGCGTCAGAAAAGTGAAAAATTTTCGCGGCTCTCTCGGCGGTAAACAAGTAATGCGAACGACCATTAAATAGTCATAATGACAATAATTAGTATTTCATGCACTGAATACAGGATTTAACAGGTGTCGAGCATTTCGACACAATAGTTTCATTTTCTCATCAAGATTTTTTTTTTTTTATTATTAAATTGCACAGATAAAAGAGAGACAAGATCACTCACCGGAAATACCGTCGTAGGTCCACCATTCCTCCCAACTGGCTTCGGATTCTGTAAATAAAAATAACAAATAATTAGAAAATTATTAATTTTTTTTTTCAAGTTCAACTACTTAAGCTTAACTATTAACGTTAACATGAGAGCGATTATCACTTAAAGTATGACACGCGTGCGTTGCGTGTTGGATTCCGATATCGCAATTTTCTTTTCCGTATATCTCGCTCGAGCAAACCCGAGAGATCCCGCGAGACACACATATATATATTATATATATATATACGGCGGGAAACTTTAAAGCTCTATCACTGCACCGAAGACGGCGCGACGGGTCGGACCGGATGGTGACCGATGCATCGATCAATTGCAATTGTAGATCAGGGGGGGGATAGGGGAAGAACGATCGATCAATCGATTACCGTGGGCGAGAATTCTAAGGCAACCGTTCTCGAATCGTGCCACGTGGTTTTATACGCGTCATACATGCCCGAAGTGCGACGGAGTTGACCCGCTCGCACGTGTACACATGCGGGAAACTCGCTCTGTCTCTCTCCCTCTCTGACAGCTTCTCCGAGCGTACACCATCGACCCCATACCACTTTAGAAGCTGACCCATATTCGATTATCTGGATGCATGCCATCCAGCGTCGTACTGCAAACTAATTGCTTCAAATTGGAAAACTTTCTCGGGCTACCTCGGATCTCTCGCCTCTCTCCATTGTCAATCTCGGCGTGCCTCTCTCCGCTCTTCCCGGTATATATACCGGGAAGATATTTATAGCATCTGCTCCGTTTCGGAGCATTCATGATCTATCGGCCGTTACGGACTACCGACTCGTGTCTATAATATCTGACGCGACACATGTTTATCCGCGCGCGACACGGCATACATGCACGCTGATTGGACAGTGTACACCTTAATGGACCTGGCAAGCACGTGCCACTGTAACTAAACCTACGCGATTATGTGCATACCATCTCTACAGGCGATCTACAGGGTGTCCGGGAATTTTTGCGCCGATTTCGGGAGTTTATAAAGAAACGCATCGCCGAGGAAAAATTCGACGTGACGCGGATGTAACTAATGCGATATATCGATCTTGGCGAGCTTATCAAGACCGAGTTCTCCGTAGCATACCTTTCGAGATGAATGACTTATATCTAAAAACGTCGAAGGTAAGAGTCTCGACTTCGCGAATTGATGCGTCACGTGAAATCCGGTTCCTTACGTACATCGGATGGAGTACGTGCAAACTTTGGCTGTCAAGTACGAATACAAATGGAATATCGCGAGAAACGCATAGTCGATGGTGACGTTCGTCACTGTCATGTTGGACAGATGATATTATCAGCTCGAGAATAGACTTGCTCGCGCGAGTCTTGGACTCGTGATATTAAAATCGTTGTCGAACCGAAAACAGAGCAAGCGAATAAGTCATATACATGATATTTTTACATTATTTTTCAAATCTATCTTCGACAAGACTGCATTAAATTTTATATAAGATTGCTAATGATAGCATCGCAAAAATAACTGTTAATGCTCTCTAAACATAAAGTTATTGTTGACCTTAATAGAGATATTATTGTTGGATTTATTTTGTCTCTTGGCAGACGGTTCGTCTAGCGTTATTCTCGTCTTGACATGATATTTTTTTATTAAAACATTTTTATCTCGATTTTTCGGCAGATGGGTTTCTTCACGAGACAATAAAGAGGTTTATTAGTCTCGTGACCCAGTCTGCAATTTTGTCCGTGACATTTCCTTCAGCGTATTTGATATCTTAAACGAACAACACGTCAAACTTAAATATTTCATTCGCGGTGTTGCATGAGACTTGTCATCCATCATTCATTACGTTTCACAATACATCCAAGTCATTTAAACGAGGCGTATAAAAAACGATGCGATATTAAGTTTAATAAGAATTAGAGCTGGAAAGAATTCAGAGGTCGGTTTTCCTTGAGCAAAAGTCGTTTATCACAAATTTCCAATTTTGTGCGATATCTCTCTTCCTCCGGCGCACACCATACGTCAAGGTGACAAATCGTAAGATCGATAGATTCGTTAGACCAAAAACCCATGAATTTGCTATTTAATACCGCCTCGCACGCGCGGAGATACGTTTATGAGGTGCTTCCTACCGAGGCAGTTTCAATCATACGATAGCATTCATGTCGCGCGTGGATCTCGCACATATGTATATATGTCTTTGCGCGAACACGGGCCCGATACTTTTATTCCGACGCTTTTAACGCAAAAGTGTCGATAACGCAACGTATATCGTCGGGAAGACTCTCGCAGCGCGAGGCAACCGTAAAACTTCCTTTCGATTCGCGACTCAATCGCGCTCGATACCACCCCGGCGAACTTTATCGGAATGAGGAAAGTGAGAGAGACTTTCGGTAATCGCGTTACGACCCATGAAGTGCGCCCGGAAATGCATCGGGACTATACGCTTCTCTTCTCCTCTCCGCACGCATCGATGCCTGACCTGCTTCTGACGAACTACTTACGTTAAGTAGTAACGGTATGCACAAGCGCGGCCAGAGCGAACCCCGACCGCGCTCTTTTTGCCCTCTTTATCTTGCATCTCTTCCCTTTACCTTTCTCGTTTTTAAATTCTCTAGTTGCATGAGAGATGCAGCCTTTTAGCGAATAACAACAACGAAATGTTATACTTTCTTGATTACACATTTTCGCTTGCGAATGCTATATACAAGACGAATCTCGAAAACGTTCCGAACAAGAGTTTAATAATATTTACTTAACAAGATATGTTAGAATAGTTCATCTCTATATGGAAACTGCGTTGGATTTTCTTATAATTATGAAATGTGTGTTTTATAAATTAATAGAAAAAAATATAGATATGAGATTATACTTGTTAATTATTATTGTACAACATTTATTTTAAATCTATATTACTTTAAATCGAGACATCTTTCTTATTTTATAATTTGTTCCAAAAATGTATAACTTAACCTTTAAAATGTATCAAAATATTTGATTGCGTTTCACAAAATAATTTTTTGGACACTTTATAAAAATTTTACGATAAAAACTGACAGGGATAAAATATTTAATAAAGGTATAATCGTATTATATGTTATATATGTATCCCTTTACAAAACATGATAGCTTCCAACTACATCGACACGCGAAATCGAAAACAGGAGGACTTTGTTTAAAATATAAAATATCGAAAATGTTACACGAACATCAAACAAACGCGACAATAATTCGTGCAATCGGTAGCAATCCAATTCGCATATTATGTACTTTCAAAGCAAAGAATAAATGCCAAAGTTAAAGAGAGTAACAGTTAAAGAGAGAAATACCGTTACGAGAGCGCGGATTGCGCGTTCTCGAATAAAATTTGCGATGCGAAAATTCAGTGTGCACAAAAGGAAGAGAGAAAATAAGAGAGAAAAAGAGAGAAGATCGAATTGCACACTCGTCGTTCACATAAGAATTACGCAATTATACGGGCAATAAAAGTCTCGCGGCTGCAAGAATGCACTCTCAAAAGCAGCCTCGCATGCGTCGGAGCTGTATAGGGGAAATTCCGCGTGGTTTAAAAAGAACCAAACAGCTCCTCGCCTCGGGGTAATGCCTGCGCCAATTTCTCGGCAGCGACCGTCCACCTGACAGTGTAAAAGCAATTCGGTATATATCGGCGAGAGCGCACTTACATATAATGCTTCCCTTTCGGAAAATTGTTACTCTTATTACGCACGGAATCGATAGAACGTCTATTTTGCCACGCGGCTCTCACCATCGCCATTATGCCACTTTCTCGAACCCTTTTCCCATCGGGGAAAAGGTTCCGCGTACGCTGACACGCGTCGGAATAACGAGATCGGCGGAATAATTTTCCGCGAAGCTTTCAATGATTCATGTCACGTGCTCGAGATCGAAAAAAAAAAAAAACCGCTACAAGAGATTATCTTATCTGAGGCAAATTTAATCACTATATAGATATAAAATCAAGATTTTATTTTCATTTCATAGCATACTTCTTTCTCCTCGTTTTTTTCCTGTTCTGAAAAAATGAGAAATTTGTATTTTCCGAATCCGGATTTGAACGTAAGCTTTCTCGAATAAACGAATGACTTGTTGTCAACATTGTGCGAGTAATTGTACGAGTAATCGATTCCTCGTACGATTTTTAGGACAAACAGTATCACGAGTAAGCCAATTTTGCGGGCATCTCGCGATATGCGATGGGATAGATGATATTGCCGAATCAGGGAGAAGTGTTTGCGCTAAATTAATTTCGGGTCAGGCGCGGGAGCAAAGACACGTAACGTGTATGTAGCGAACAAAGTGAAACAAAATTGAATCACGGTTCGAAAGTGCGGAGCTAGAATCGTATAGGTGCGCCCCGAGGTTATCCAGAGAGGAAACTAACGCACGCGAGAGTGTGTTAAAGCACCGCGGCGCGGATAATTTAAGTAAATATTTCTCGTGATATAAATGAAAGGCACGTGAGCCCGATACTGATTAAACATTAAAATTGATCGCTGTGAAACCATACGAAATTACAGTCCACAAATGCCGGCGCGCCGTTTCGCCAAGATAAGACTGGGCAAATAACGGCGCAGATACTATCACCGCTGCCTCTTTCTTTTATCAAGGGGCATATCAAATAAGTCTATAACTAACCATCGTAGACCGTATCGCGTATATTCAAATTATTTCGCGATCGGTCCGCATAGAGCACGAAATATTTTCGGAATAAACTAATGGCAATCTCGATCAACATTAGACATAAACGCGCGAGTCCCAAGGATATTTCCCTTCGAACGATAAGAAACACTTCTGTGCTTGTAATGTGAGCGGTCATATTTTAATATTTTAAGCTACATGTCTCGTGAGATATATAAATATATTACAAGTTTGATCTTAGTGGTATTTTTTCGCGTTAAAAAAGTTGGCGTCCCAAAGTTTTTATTTCGAAAAAATAAAAATAAACGCCACATGCCATACCGCGAGAGAGAATTCCAATATTTGCATTACGGTTTAATCGATACAGCTCGCACGCGCCGGC